ATACACCCATTTAACTGTGAATCATTCTGTACATTTTGTTGATCCTGAGACTGGCGTGCATACACAAAATATTGAAAATACATGGATGAGAGTTAAACGAAAACATAAAAAACAAGGAGGATTTTCAAGAATTTTATTGCCTACTTATTTAGAAGAATTTATGTGGCGTCAGGATTTCGGCGATAAACCTCTTAAAAATACTGATATTTTTACCCAGGATAGAGACATATCCACACTCCAAATCCATACTGACAAAGTTAGTGAGAACCTTTGTTAAGTATATGGTTTTTCTTCCTCTCTGTGGAACAGTAAAATTTTCTTGTTAAGGTTAATAGTGATACTTAATAAAGATTCTCAATACTCTTGTCCATATGGATTTGGAGTGTGAACGTGCCTCAATCTTTGTTAAAAAAATGAGCTCGTTTAGTCGAGCCGTAAAGGAGATATGAAAATTTTCCTAACTCTAAGGACTTTCCGGACACCCTATATATATATATATATATTAAAAAAATAGTCGGATCATTACAAATCAAAACGAATCACAATTAAAATAAAAAAATCTTTTCAAGTTTTTTTATTTCTTATGCTGGTAATTGATAAGTTTTATCCCATAATTGCAATAAACCTAGAATGGATGCAATTGTTCCAGCAAGACCTTGTAAACCAGTATTAACACGAACAATATTCAAATTTGATAATGGTATATAAAGATCACATAAATTTTTGATTGTGTCAATAACTAATGGTTTATTTGCCCAAAATATATTTGCACGTCTTATTAATGATTTGTCTTGTTGTTGTTGATGATGTTGTCCAACAGCAAATGATGCTTGCATTTCATAATAATCACGTGTTAATGATAATGACAACCATAGTAGCCATACTTGATTAAGATATTGTTGTAAATATTGTGAATTTTTTAAATAAATAATTTTAAAACGATGAAGTAATAAAATATTATCAAATAACATATATAAACCTTGACAAACAGCAATTAAACCAAATAATGTTCCAATACGTTTATTTCGTATATGAAAACTTTCTAAAACACTTTTTACATAATCAACAAAACGTCCAAGACGCATTCCTTTTAAAATAAAAGAAAATTTAGATAAAAAAAAAACATTTTTTTTTTCTATATATTATTTTACCGCTTCGAGTTAAACTCATGACTGATTCTAAATTTTGAAATAATTCAACAAATCGTTCAACATTTGCGACACGTTGTTTCTTTATATAATACCATGCAAGAAAACGTGATGCATATTGAATTATACGATAGATTTTATCACGACCAGCTGTGCGTGATGTAAAACGAATTACCTCGTCAAGACTAATTTTTGAACAAGACATCTAAAAAAAATCAACAAGATATCTGTCTATGCATATTGATGAAATAGCTCATTCGTTACTCTATCGATCGTATATTTTTAAACAGCTACCTTTTTCTAACAATCAAAAAAATATTTTTAGAGGTCAAAGTTGGCAAATTTAAGATAACAATTTTCATTATTTTGAATTATCCAACAGAATGTTTATATGCTATATAATAGTTTTCGTAAGAGAACATCAATTTATGTAACCAGATTTCGTATAATAAAGTTTATATTTTTGAAAGATTAGCAGAAATTTCAAGTACGTTTTCATATCGCAAAGATTCTTTTTTTGATTATTAAAATAATTACTACGTAATATCAAGCGAGTATTTCCAATAAAAACATTTTGCAAACAAAACTTATTGAAAAGATTATGGACTAGATTTCGCAACACAAAATTTCCTCTCTGTAATGCAACGGTACTGAGATACAGAAGTAATAAAACTAGTACAAAAGTTTTACTTCATCGTTACATGTGAGTTAGTTAAATATATACATATGAGATTCGTGATGATTGTATTTGATTTATAAACTTCAGTTTGACTATGTGTCTAAAGGATATCAATTTGACTTTTAACTGAAAATGAATATAAAAACTGGACCAATGAATTAGTTTTGATCAATTGACTGAGGAATACAAGATTTTCATAGTACTTAGATACTCTCGTATCTAATTATTCTATAGTAAAAATTCAGATGAATTTTGATCGATAGCACCAAAATGAACTTCATCTTAGGTAGTGATGTATTCAAGAACTCAAGATCTTTAGAATCGAACAAATACCTGTGAAAAAAGCTATTTGTCACTATTTTGAACTTTGCTAGTCTTCAGATACAACATTTTTTAAAGTTCATCTTCCTAATCGTACTGTGCAGTGGCTCAATTTAGAATATTCCTATACAAAACTCTGTTAGTTATGACTTTTATTTTCAAAGAAAGAAATATTTATCATCAAATCAATGTTCTATGATCTTCGTTAGCCTCTTCTAATAACAAGGAAGAAAAGTTCAGAGTAAAGAAATTAATACAGTGATATAAAACTATTTAAGTTCATCAAACCATATTCAAGACAGAATACAGAAGTTTCACCCTGGTCGGAAATCTCACTAAACTTTCAGATCCAGTTTCCTTCATTAATCTTCGAAAAAGCTGTATTTCAATGAACAGTTGCTTCGCTATCTAACACTCAGAAGAACGCTAGAAGTATAGTATGATTTAACTTGACAATCGAATTTCATAGAGTAATAATAATAATGATAATTCAAAATCATTATCAAAACAAAAATATATAATTTTACTGCAACAAACATAAATTTGAAAAATTCATACCTCTCTTTTGTATTAATTACAAGTCATAATATCTATTCGTATAAAACCGACTAATATGATACTATCTAAAAAGATCGTCATCAATATATTTACTTATAAAAAACCAAAGGTCGTACAGATTCTTTTTCCTTCAATGTATCACTAAAATGAAAAAGTCGCAGCTAAAAAAAAACCGAACAAAGAAATCTTCATCCACAATCACATAGAGAAAACAAGATACAACACAAATAAAAACAAGTCTACAAAGTACATAACAGATCATACTACTGAACAAAACTTTTATTTTTTTGCTTCAAATAGTTGATTGATATTGACAAATAAATTACGCCGTCTACAACAAATATAAATTAAAAACAAAATAAAAATAAATAATTATTAAATTCACTTTATTTATTGATCCAACTAAAGCATATTTATCGAATAATCGACTAGGAAGATCTTTTTGTCGAATAGACGAAAGAGAATTACAATTTTGTTCCTTTGGTACATATTCAAATGGTTTAGCATCTGCCCGTAATTGAGATTTTTTTGACGAATTATATGCTAAGAAGAAAAAAAAGCTTTCTGATAACATGAAATCAAATGCATTGATTTTTAATCGAACTTTGATTTAAATCATTATTAATTTTAATAATTGTTTTATTGTCATCTGAAATTTTCTTTTCTAATTGTATATCAATATTTGGTTTATAGGAATAATTCATTTGATCATTATTAACTAATTTTATTGAACATTGATTTGTTTTAAATTGATGAATATCTTCACGTAATTTTTCAACAGCTGTTTTCATTTGATTTAATTGTTCAAAACCTATTTGTTTACTTAATTGTGAATTAAATAATCGACGTTGTATGCCAGTTATTTTAAATCGTTGAATTTGTTTGAATTTGCTTAATTTTTCTTCAACTTCTGAATGTGCTTGTTTTAATTCAAATAGTTTTGCTTCATAAATTTTATCTAATTGTTTCATTTGATCATTTATCCAATCATTTAAATCCTCTAATAAAAAAACAAGAATTCTTTTTTGTTTTATTTAAATAAAGAAATAGAAAAGAAAAAAATAAAAACCTTCAGCTGATGTGAATTGTTCATCAAATGACATATTTTCAATTTCTTCAGTTATTTTATTAAATTCATCACAATACATATTTGCTTCACATATTAATTCTTCATTATGTTGTAAAAGATGTTCAACACAGAAATGCTACAATAAATAAAAGATTTGAAATTAAACATAAAACAAATTCTTTCTTTTTACTCCTTGACAATGTAAACAAACGGCTATAGGACTATGGACACAGTTAGATGTTTGGCAGATTTCCATCTAAATAATACAGAAATAATAAGGTGAAATTAATATTAAATATTAAAAACTCTGGAACGCTAATAACAATAGTCTGACTAGAACGAAAGAAATGATCTATTTCAATTGTTATATCCAATGACAAAAATCAACTAAAGAGAGCGCTAGTCATAAAATTCAATTGTGTTAGTATGCAAAGGAAAAAATGACTATATATTCGCATTGAATATTTTTCCAGGTTACCTTAAAAAAGATGCTGAAGTATGAAAATAAGACTTAGTTGGCAAATGAATATGTGATCTTATTTATACAAAATTCAAAACTCTTTAACCTCATTTTAGTCAATTAGATGACGGATTCTTAATAGTCATCATGGATGGAAGTCTATTGATATTAAAATGATAGGCAAAACAAACTTCAATTTCGCTAAGTTTCAGCTATTATTAAGAATTCATAAAATTCATTCAATCTCGAGATATTACATTGTGTGATATAAGTTTAAACCGCTTTATAATGTTCTTTTCTTTCTTGAAAATAGAATTGTCTTAACTGAGATTGTTACAGTGTATTCTTACAACATACATCTCGATTCTATTCTTTTTATTTTCTTTGATATTTTCGTTACTATTCTTCTGTTTGACCTTGATTAATCATCCTATTCTTTTCTACTTTTGTTCTTTTTTTCGTGTGCGTATATAAACGTTTGTTTTCTAAAAGGATACATAGAGAGAGAAGAAAAAACATATATCTTTAACCGTGTTTGTCACTCTTCGTGAGCGCGAGCTCTAAAAGAGATAAACATCAACGATATCCATATCTGCAATATTTTTGCACACAATTTGTTCAGTCATACTTTCTGAAAAACATAGAAGAAACATTTATTGCATTGCAACCGACTGTTCATGAATACAGGATTTCAAAATCAATAACTTGAACATTCCAAAGAAAATACAGTAAAATTCAGCATTATCAAATAATTGAAATCAACTTATGATAATAGTTATGTGTTGATAATAAAAAAAAGGAATATTCCGCAATTTGAAAAATATAATCATCGGTGATTTATTCATTTTTGATTAATATATTTTCTTTTTCATGAGAAATATAATTTTTCGAATATATTGAACATTCATATCGAAAATTGAACTTGTTTTTACACTAATATCATGAAAACCTTCAATTGATGCACATTTTTCTTTTATTTAAAAAAAAAGCAAAATTTATTCTTTATTGTAACTTGTATTCATCCTATTGTATACCTGCCGTCTATGATTGTTTGTACGATCAATTGCTAAAAAAGGATCATCCTTGATGAAATACGAACATTTACGTATTAAAAAGTTTCTTCATTGATACAACATCAATTCTTTTCTTTTCTTTTATTTATTCCACAAAAAAAAATATCATAACATATTTAATTAGAGCATTCATTCTTATACAATAATCTGTATATATATATGCAATTTTCAGTGTGTGTGTATGTCTGCATTCAAGTCAGAACTCAGAGTTTAGGTAGGTGAGAGCTGGCATAGATTATGGAATACAGGTGTAATGGTGAATGTGGATGGATGAGATTGCAGCTGTATTAGAGCTCATGAAGTAACACTGACACCACACTTATATCCAACACCCTTACTTCACACCGTACAATTGCTCACATCCACTTGTTCATCCAAATAACTTGTGTTGAAATAGTGGATGTACGGGCTCTAAGTGCATCTTTGACCATTTTCCACTGACGGAAAAAATCTTGCTTTTAGTGGATCAAATAAACGACCGTGTTGTATACACAATTGTTTGCTGATACCCTACTGTTATACTAAGAGTTCTGTCTGTTATTGATAAACTTTCGAATTGTATTGTTATTTCTACGAAAAATGACAACATTTTAACTCTTGTTCTGTCTTCATTGCTGTTGCTTCTATGACTAATATTATCTTTATCATTTAGTATATTAGTCTAAATATTCATTCAACTTAAAATCGACTTTCTACATGTTTTAACCATATCTATTATAAACTTTGTTTACACATTTGTAATGTTTTATTGATTATTTCATGAATATATTTTAACATCGATCTGTGTTCTTTGTTATAGTCAATCATCAAGAAACACTCAAATACGAAATCTTTGTCGATGACAAGATGTTTTACAAGTAGTTGTCATTTATACTCGTTTTTTTAGTTTATTATTTCTTTTTATATTCCTATGCTTACAAATGTTTACGATGAAAAATGTTTGATGCGAACAAGTGTTACAGCTCTTTACCATGCAATTGATATTGGGTATTAATCTTCAATTTATTGAAACCCACATCCACACCCTAAAGAAAAAATGCCATCTAGTTCTGAATATAAATAACGAATTCCTAGTAAGATTAGATCCTATTAAAGGAATTTCGTTTGAGCGTATCGTTTTTCCATATGTACGTCTGACAGATAATAGATCAATGATGCTTTTACCTTAAAATTCAAATCAATATGCATTATGAATCATACTCAATGATGATAAAACAACAAAAATAACAATATAAGTTGTTAATTGAATCACTATCAAGTGAAAGTAGTTTTCGTACAAAAACCAAAATAAATAGAAGATAAAGACCTAAGAGAAAAAAACGAAGTATCATCATCATCTTCTATCAGTTATCTCTTGCTTTATTTGCTTAATTACGTTAGCATTTCGTCCTTATAATTACCTAGTCATATTGTAACTCTTGTATTCTGTATTAAAATGAAGATAATAATAATTCTTCTTTTTCTTTGTCTTCATAATCATTTTACAGAACATGCATTAATTGATAACAAGAATAATTTAACTAAATTTGATTGTACTTATAAGGATGCAAGATTTGGTCGTATTGATTTATCAAAAGTTGGTTTAAAACATGGCATTCCTGCTTTTCGACATGTGCTCAAAGACGATTATTTTTATTCGTAAGCTTCTACTGTTCATAATATCTAGATTTTTTTTTGTTTTAATTTAAATTTATCTGAAAATACACAGTTATAATCCATGTTATCCATTTTCTGAAGAATCTTCTTGCACGAATGTAGCTATATGTCAAAGTAAATATTCTTCTTTTTAATGACTATCTTTGAATTTGATAGATTTTTCTTTATAGTTTCTAAAACTGGATCAGCTTATTATGTTCTTGGTTTGAATTCAATGGTCAGTTGGTCAATAACAGCTGATGGTAAGGCAACACTTGTTTATTCAGCAGATGAACGTCAAACAATTGTTAATCTTGCTTGTTGGAATGAAATCGATCAACTTGATATTAATGGTGAATATGAAGCACGACATTATAATTTAACTTTATTTAGTAAATGTGCGTGTTGGAATGGTTGTTAATTTCAATTTTATCTTTCAATAAAGTTGTTTTTTTTTGTCTAATCAAAAATATGATTATTGAATCGGTAATAGGAATCTGCCGAACAGCTAAATAGTCAGTTTTGTCATCATCATTTCATGAAATATCCGTTTCGCTTCACCTCGTCGGCAAGTGTTCTGAGGTGCGATTCTTTTGAAATTTTTCAAATGTCTAGGTCAAACAAATACAACCGAAAACTGATCGTACTTCAAGAGATAAGACAATTTATATGACTCTGTATTATGGTTGTATATCTCTATGTTGTATACACAGATATATCAACATGTACATAGACAAAACATATGCTAATTTATTACTTTTGTATATGAAAGCCGTATGAAAGATTCATTTTGCTTCACATTTCTCCATTTATAATTATACTGTTCTACATACGGTCGTGAAGATATACAATTATATTATTGAGTCATAATGTCTATGTCACAATTATTGTCTCATATTCATGATATTAAATAGAATAAATAAAATAAAATATGTATGAACTATTTCAAAATATCAAAAACGAACGGCAATTACTTCTTTTTTGTTTCAAATAAATTTAGCTATGTTCTTAAGAAAAGAACTGTATTTTCAGAAAACGAAGAACACCGTTAAATCTTGCTTTATTTCCCTGCCGAAAATTTTTGTGTCGTTCCACGATGGTGTAACTACACAGTATTTCGGCAATTGACATTGAAAATGTTGCCTGATCGGATCAAATTAGTTTTTCTTAATTAAAATTAAAATAAGTCGTTTTTACAGCTCACGAGAGAATCTCTTCAGGTGTCAAATCGTTTTTCAACCAAGAAGACGTTTCTGGAGATGTAAACACATGCACAAAACTTACTTTTACACATGAGAGAATTTCAAAATATTGACTATTTCAGGATAGGATATAATAGAAAAGTTACAATTTGCTCAATGAACTAATCTCATTGAAAGCTTTGTTCGCGCAAAGTTTGAAATCGAAATTCGATTTACCATGTGACCCAAGGATTATCACAGCTTTTGTTGAAAAATCCAATAAACTTTCGATATCTTACAAACAAAGGCTCGTAAAGCTACACCATTCTAGACTTTTCTATTGTTCATCAAATGGATCCTATTGCGGTCGAAAAGCAACTTGACATTTGGAAAGGTTTCCTCGTCAGTAACAACGAAACATATTTGTCATATAGTATGCAATTCACATATTTAATAATAATATAATTCAATGCTCTAATATGAGCAAAACAAAATATATTAAGATGAACATGCGTTGCAAAACAAAAAAGACTAATGATTTTAATTAGTGGAACGTTTTTTTTTTCTTTTTTATTGTTGATTTTGTGACAATAATTTTTGGTTCATCTAGCAGAAAGAAAAAAGATAATAAAAAGTTTGAAACAACTTGGCTTTTTTTCTTACCTGAACCAAATGGTAAACAACGAAGTTTTAATTGTTTTGGAAATTCTGGTCGAAAAGTTACTTCTTTTGGTGCACAATCAGTAGGAGGTTCAATATCTTGAACTAATGAATAAGTTTCTACTGATGATGAAACTGAAAAAAGAAGGATTTCCTAATGAAACGAAAAAATAAAACGTACTTAAATGAGCTTCATTTCCATTAGTACTTCTTTGAAAACAATAAGATTCAGCAGTTGAATCATTTT